GGGACAGAGCTTGAAAATACGTAAGAGATCATCCATCCATACCACATAGTGATAGTTTCGATTCAAATTTAGTAGTATAGGATTTTTACTTTATCTCTTGGATGATAAAAGTAGTGTTCTTTTTATATTCTTGAAATCCTGATTTGTGATGACTTTAACATATTTATTGCCTATGTATTGTGAGGGGGTGGTGTGTCCTAATACACACACACACACACACACACACACACATATGCGCGCACACATGCCCACACACTCACACTAGTGTCAGTACTATAATGTCCGTATTATTACTAACCATATTACTGAAAACAGCTCAAGATTTATCTGGAGCTCATTTTTATCTTAAAATACATTCCAGTATGGGTGTATAATCAAATTATGTTTTAAAGTTATCAGAAATAATTCTCTACCCACATAGTTTAACTTTGCTCTTAATTTGAGGGGATTATTTTTTTTGTTTCTTTTTGAAACAAGTTCTCATGAAACCACTAAAGTGCACAGTCTGGGCTCTAACTTGTGATCCTCCTGCCTCAGCATCCCAGAGTGCTGAGATTAAAGACATGCAGCACCACACCCATCTTAATTTTCTTTAGAATTAAAAACATCTGCATGGTTCCAAGATCAAATTTTAAAAAGCAAACATTCCGAAAAGCTAGCTTCGAGTTAGCCATCCATTTTCTCCCTCCACTCACAGATAACCAGTTCTATTCTTCCACTTCTTTTACATTTTTTTAAAATTCAGAGATAAAGTCTCCCTAATTGCCCAAGTTGGCCTCCAATTTGCAATTCTCTTGCCTCAGCTTCTCAAGTATCTGGGATGACAGACATGTAGCATGCCCAGCTTCTTCCATTTGTTTTCATTACAAACAGATATATTACATTAGAATTTCTTAGATAAGAAGCATCATGCTATTCATGTTTTCACCCTGCTGTTTGGTTAACTGTACATCCTAGAGACCCTTCCACGGCAGTATGTAAAGACGGCCTCCATCCTCCGTCTCGCTTTAGCACGCACTGTACAGATGTCTTAGTTACTCACCCATCCCTCAGTGATGGGCACCTGCATTCTCTCCTGTCTCTGGCCTTGCAGACGGTGCTGTGATGGAACACCTCGTGTGTGGGTGTCTTTTCTTATTTTGTCCTGTGTAAGTTGGGTATACCCTGTAGAAAGGATTGCTCAGAAGGTAACGCACATTAACTTTGCTAGGCATCGCCAACTTCTTCTCCAAAGTGGTTGTATCATTTCACATTCCCAGCATGAAGAGAGAGATGTTTCCCATACTGAGCTTAATTAAAAATCTCTGCGAGGGATTTTAAATAAAACCATTTTACTTCTTTACAAAGACTAGTTTTAACAAAGGGAAGGGATATGCTTAAGACCCTGCCTTCCCAGACTGACACTGTATACGTAACTCCCTCCCCTAATTATGTCAGAGAAGTAAAGTCCAGGGGCAAATATTCTGATTGGAAATATCATAGGCTACTTTGAGCCTTCGAGAACTGCAAGTGTGTTGGAAAATGAAAGGTCACTGAAGTGGCAGTGGCTTCTCCATGTGTTGGCCTTTCCTAATCCTCTTTCAGCCTATTTATTGAAATAGAGACTTGGGCCGCGGATTTAGCTCAGTGGTTCTGCTACCTGCCTCGTAAGCGCAAGGTCTTGAGTTCAATCCCTGGTACCTAAAAAAAAAAAAAAAAAAAAACACAGACTTGATCTGGTATTTAATGACACCACAGCCAAGTGCTGGCTTCCATCCATACCACACCACTAAGGACTGTCTTCCCGGAGCCTCCTTCTCCTGGCTGTCTCCTCTCAGTGTCTGAGACCAGGCAGCGTGTCAACTTGGATCTTCTGCTCATTCAAGCTTCTCTAAAGCGGGCCTCTGTGCTGCCAGAGGTGAACATGAATACACATCCGTCTTCCTCCTGCCTCACCTTCTCATAAAAAGATGGCTGCATCTATATACTGTGTGCACCCTGCTTTTCTCCTGCAACTATATATTCTTGAGATTTCTCCATAGCGGTATGCAGATGGTCTACACAGTCATGGTGGGGGGGTATAGCTGACTTTATTTACTAATCTCCTGTGGTTACACAGCCTCCTTCTAGAGACTGAGCCCACTCACTTGTGCTCTCCCCCTGCCTTCCAGGTCCCACCAAACACCGCTCAGGTGTCAATCAAAGAGGGTCTGGTAAGGCTGGCAGCTGCCGGAGCCAGGACACAGCAATAGAGCCCCGCTGGGCGAGAGGCACATGGGTACACAGGTTGATCTTCTCACGTGGCGAGCTTCAGTCTCCTGAACCACACAGTGGAAAACTAGAGCAAGATAAGGCAGCGCAACCAGGAAGTGGGCGATTTAAACAGGATGGTCAGGGCAGGTCACACTGAGAAATCACTGGCAGTTACTTATTTTTTCAGGCAACTGCTCTTTCGTATTTTTAAAATTTTTACTAGTACATGTTTATAGTAGTAATGATTAGCTTCATCGCAGGGAGTTAGTACATGTGCATAGCATACTTTCCCTTCCCCATCCCTCTATCACTTGGTCCCCTTCCTTTCTATCTTCTTGCTTTCTATGATCTATCATTTATTTTATACTTTGATTAATTTAAATTTCTTTGGTTTCTCATATAAAAGAAACCATGTGATATTTAAGCTTGTGTCTGATTTAGTCCACTTAGCATTATGGTCTCTTGGGCCAGGAATTTAGCTCAGTGGTTCCACCGCCTGCCTCACAAGCTCAAGGTCCCAAGTTTGATCCCCCATACCAAAACAAACAAACAAACAAACAAGCATTATGGTCTCAAGGTATACCCACTTTCCTACAAATAAGCCGTTTATTCTTCTTTATGGCATAGTAGTGCTCCATAATGTATAAATACATTTTCTTTATCCATTGATATGTGCTGGTGAACACATCAGCCACTTTCAAGACTTAGCTATTATGAATTGTGCTGCTGTACACATAGGTATGCCTGTATCACTGTGATATGATGTCTTTAATGCTTTGGAGAAGATATCTAGAAGAGGTATAGTGGGCTTGAATGGAATTTCTAGTTTTCGTATTTTGAGGAATCTCTGCACTGATTTCATAGTTGTACTAGTTTACACTCCCACCAACAATGTGGAGGGGTTCCTTTTCCCCAAAGCCTCAACAGCATTTATTATTTGATTTCTCTCTTTTTTTTTTTTTGGTACCGGGGATTGAACTCGGGTCCTTGCGCTTGCAAGGTAGGCCACGGAACTGCTGAGCGCTGAGCTAAATCCCCGGCCCCTTTGATTTCTTTGATGATAGCTATTATTTCTGGAGACAGAATTTCAGTGTTGTTTTCATGCGCATTCCTCTAATAGCCAGAGATGTTGAGCATTTTTTCACATATTTCTTGGCCATTTTTCTGAGAAGAATCTATTCATTTCAGCTACCCATTTTTTATTGGGTCTTTTATTTTGGGGGTCTAATTGTTTTGAGTTCTTTATATATTCTAGATATTAGTCCTCTGTTCAAGGAATAGCTGGCATTTTTTTCCCTTATTCTATAGGTTGTCTCTTCACTTTGTTGGTTGTTTGCTGTGTAGAAGCTTTTAAATTTGATATAATCCCATTTGCTTATTCTTGATGTTATTTCTTAAGCAACTGGAGTTCTATTTGGAAAATTCCTGCCTATGCCTATATCTTCTAGAGTTTTATCTATTTTTCAGCAGATTATTTCTATTTAACATGTAGATCTTTCATTCATTTTTATTTTAGAGTCATACATAGTAAGCCATTATGGCTCTAGATTTAATCTACATGTGGAAAGCTAGTGTTCCCACCACCATTTGTTAAAGAGGCTATCTTTCCTCCAGTGTTTTTTTTTGTTTTTGTTTTTGTTTTTGTTTTTGGCCCCTTGGTCAAAGATCAAATAGCTGAATGTGCCTGGGGTTGTTTTCGCATCCTCTGTTCTGTTCCACTGATACACATGTCTATTTTTGTGTCAGTACCATGCTGTTTTTTATCATATGGGTTTGTAGTATAACAATGTCTAGGATTCTGATGCCTCCTACTTTGCTCTTGTTGTCTTGGATTGCTTTTGCTATTCTGGTTCCACATGAATTTTAGGATTGTTTTCTCTAGTTCTGTGAGGAGTATTGTTGGTATCTTGATCCAAACTGCATTAAGTCTGTATATCATCTTTGGAAGTATGTTCAGTTGGATAATGGTTCTGCCTATCCAGAAATAGGGAATATCTTTTTTTTTTTTTTTTCAATACCAGGACTCAAACTCAGGTCCTTGCACTTAGGAGACAGCTACAGCACCACTGAGCTAAATCCCCAGCCATGGGAATATATTTCTATTTTCTTATGATCTTTTCAATCTCCTTTTTCAGCATTCTGTAGTTTTCACTGTAGAGGCCTTTTACTCCCTTGGTTAGAAAGTCCTAAGTATTTGTTGGTTTTGTATCCTGCTACACAACTGAATTTAGTCACTAATTCTAGGACTCTTTTGGTGGAATTTTTGAACCTTCTATGTAAAAATCATATCATAATTTGACTTATATATATCCTTTCCTATATATATCCATTTTATTCCCTTCTCTTGCCTGACTGATCTGGCTGATGTTTCAAGTACTACACTGAACAGGAGTGGTGGTAGTGGACATCCTTGTGTTGTTCCTGATTTAGAGGAAGCGCTTTGTGTGTGGGGGGGGGTTCTGTTTAAAATGATGTTGGTGGTTTGTCATAAATGGCCTTTACCAAATTGAGAAAAGTTCAATCTAAATCTATTTTCTTTGGGGTTTTATCATAAATGGAGCTTGGATTTTGACAAAGGCTTCTGCTGCATCAACTGAAATGACCATGTGACTTTTGTCCTTGCTTCTGTTTACGTGATGAATTAAACTTACTGATGTGCATACGTTGAACCATTCTTCCATCCCTAGGATGACGCTTACTTGGTCATGATGTATGATCTTTCTGATGATTTCTTGCATTCCCTTTGCCAGTGTTTTGTTGAGAAATTTTAAACTATGGGACACTTCATGAATCTGTGTCATCCTTGCCCGGGGGCCATGCTGCTCTTCTCTGCATTGTTCTGATTTTAGTAATGTGCTGCCAAACTGGGCACTCCTCATGTTAAAGTTGCTGCAAGTCAGCCATCAGGATCACCGCCACAGCCTGTTGTGATCCCAAATGTCAATGGCATAGTAAAGGCGGTCTCCGTATTATTGGTTCCCTGGAGTTGTGTTATTTTAGAAACTGCTTGAAATGAGCAGGGAGGAGCTAGCATAGGACTTAAAAACCTTTTCTGTGACCCAGAAGTATTTGTTCTTGAAGCTTCGATGCAGTGGGTTTGAAGAGTGTTCCAAGTGGTCAGAACCACCGCTTCTCCTGTCTGGATCCTGTCTCACAGAAGAAATTCAGCCTAGAACTGCTGCGCACACGCAGGCTGGTTAGGAAGGACTGACTGATTCAGACAAATCATTGCTGCTATGCGTTGAGCAATTTCTGCTCTGCCACAAGGCTAAAAACAATAGTCAGCCAACCACAGAGTGAAACCATGAACCAAAACGAACCTTTCCTCCTAAAGCTGTTTTCTCGGGTATTTTGTCACAGTGATGGAAAGCACACTGACACACCTTGTGACTCTGTGCTCCTCTGTATGCTGCCTCTCCAAACATCAGCACCTGCCTGGTCCTCCCAGGTGAGCAGCCCTAACGAAGCATAAGCTGGGGAAAGCCAGGCTGCAGTTACATCTATTCTCACCGTGAGACTATCTCGAGAAATTTTTTTCTCATCTTCACATCAGTTAGACTGAAAGTCAGGTTGCACTTACTTTTTCCTTCCGTCAAATATCCAACAAGGTACATGCCAGGGGCTCTGGGGAGGTGAGGATGCCGAGATGGACACTGGTCCTCTATAAGAGGACTTTATGGGGGTCTTTAGGGAAGACAAACATGAGGTAAGTACGGAGTACATGCTGCAAGGGTCATGGTGTGGCCACCAGGGTCAGGGAAAGCTCCCTAGAAAAGCTGAGGTCTCAGCAGAATCCACCGAGATGAAGCAAAGGTTCTCATTGAGGACAGGGACAGTGGAGAAGCCAGGAAGGGAGAAGCAGGAGGGCAGCCAGGCCAGGCTCGCAGGCCCAGGGCCGGAGCACTCAGAGGCGGCTGACTGGAAAGCATTTCTGAGCTTCTCAGTCTTGACTTGTAGGCAATGAGAAGCCACAGTAGGGCTTTAAGCAAGCAGATGGTGAGGCAAGGACCCCCCTGGTGTAGAGCTAAGAAATATCAGGAGCCAGGCCTGGCTGGAGGCTCAGGGAGCAGCTGACAGGGCTTGAACAAAGGGGTAGCAGCGGGTGTAGAAAAGAGAGAGGGGTTCAAAAGCAAGGGAGGAGGGAGCACAAGCTGGAACAAGTTGGAAGGCCTGGCTCTGCGCCTGAGTTCTCCTATCATTGGCCAGGGGACCCTGAGCCTCCACTAGTTATTTAATCCCTACCTACTTCACAGGGTTGTTGGAGGATTAAACGGGATAACCTAGGAGCAAACAAAGTGCCCTGTGTACGCCACGGGCCTGCAAGTGCCTGGTGCAGCTCACTGTCCCCAGGACTGTGGTCTCCAGAGGAGCCTCGCCCCGGGAGACTTCAGATGGCCCTCAGGGCCACAGACCTGACCTTGTGCTGCTGAAATTCTCTACTGAGATGGCCCTTGGTCAATCTGATCTCCTTTCTAAATCAATTTCCTTTTCTATAAAATAAGAAACCTGCATTAGATAACCTCAGGTTCTCTGCCCGATGTTCAATGGTTTTGTTCTCTTACCTGTGTCTCAACTTCCACGGTCATACTTATCAAATGAAATGATATCACCAAAATATTCATCAGCAGAAGGAAAATTAAAAACTAAGCCAATGAGTGAATGATCATGAAAACTACAATGAAAAATGTGCGTGTTCTTTAAATACCTTGAAAAGCCACATTACTATGCTCCATTCAAAGAGTAAAAAAAATTTAAAGAGTTTCCACTCAAAAAAATTCTTATACATAGCACCTACGATTCTAAAAGGTTAAATTATCATCGGTCTGTATATTTACCCAAGAGAGACTAAAAGAAGTATCCAGATAAAGACTTGCAAAGGAATGTTCATACCAGCTTTATTTGTAACAGCCCCAAACTGGAAACAACCCAAATGTCCATCAACAGATGAATAAATAAACACATGTGTTACATCCATAAAACAGAACACTACTCTGTAATAAAAAGATCCAAACTTTAGATATAAGCAACAACACAAGTAACCTCAAGATCACCATGTTGAAAGAAAATATTTGCAAATCATATATCTGATAAGGGTCTGGTGCCTACAGTTTATAAAGAACATTTAAAATTCCAGGACAAAAATATAAACAACTGAATTTAAAAATGGACAAGAGACTTTAATAGACATTTCTCTAAAAATGATACACAAAGCCAGGTGTAATAGAGCATGCCTGGAATCCCAGCACTCTGGGAGGCTGAGGCACAAGAGTCACAAGTTCAAGCCCAGCCCGGGCAGTGTAATGACTTAGTGAGACCCTATCTCAAAATAAAAATATAAAAAGGGCTGAGGATGTAATTCAATGATGAAGCTCTGGGCTCAGTCCTCAATACTACCCCACACACCCCCACACAATACACCAATGGCCTAGAGCACCTGAAAAGAAGCTCAGCATCATTCATCATTAGTGAAATACAAATGAAAACCATAAAAAGGTACCACTTCATCCCCAAAAGGATCACCATAAAAACAATGTTGGCAAAGATGTGGCGAAACCGTTACCTCCATTTGCTGCTAGAGGAAATATAATATGGCACAGTGCCCTGGAAAGCAGTTAGGAGCCTCCTTGGTAAATTAAGCACAGAATTGCCCTATGACCCAGCAATCCACTCCACGATACATATTCAGATGAACCGAAAACAGACGTTCAAATAAAAACTTGGACATGAAGGCTCATGCCAGCTCTACCCACAAGTCAAAGGTAGAAACAACCCAAATGGCCATCAATAGATCAACAAAATGTTATCTATCCATACAGTGAACTGTTAACCAGTAATAAAAATGAAGTACGGGGCCGGGGGTTTAGCTCATTGGTTCCACCACCTGCCTTGCAAACACAAGGACCTGAGTTCAATCCCTGGTACCAAAAAAAAAAAAAAGAAGTACAGACACATAATATACCAGAGATGAACCTTAAAGGCATTATGCTACGTGGAGGACATCAGATACAAAAGATCCCATATCACATGATGTCATTTGCATGAAATATCCAGAACAGGCAAATTCACGGAAACAGGAAGCAGATGAAAGGTTTTGGGACTGGGGAAAGAGAGGACAGGAAGTAACAGTTTAATGGGCATGGAGTTTGCTTGGGTCTGACCCAACTGCTCCGGAACTAGACAGCACATAACACTGTGAATGTACGTGATGTCACTGAATTTAAAAACAGCTACAGTGGAAATGTGACTACAGTGGTATGGGTGGGGTCCGTCCTCAAGGGCTCGGGTGCAGGAGTTTGGTCCTCAGTGGGCGCTGCGGAGCTCTGTGGCGGGGGCCTTTAAAGCACTGAGGTTGCTGGCAGTGCAGCTCTCAGAAGGGACTGATTAGTTCTCTGGGACCTTGGTCAGTTCTCCCAAGAATAAGCCATTATTAATCAAGGACACCTAACACATTTGCCATCTTCCACATGAGCTGTTTCCCTCTCACACTTCCCCAACATGCTGGGCTGCCTCCGAGGGGGCCAAACTGATGAGGCCTTGGATCTTGGGTTTGCAGCTTCCAGAACTATGAGCTAAAGAAATCTCTTTAGACAGAACCCAGCCTCCAGTATTTTGTTATAGCAACAACAAAAAAAATGAACTAATACAGAAATGCTATATGTGTTTTATCAATTTTTTAAAATATTATTTCCAAAGTAAATCATCAGGTTGAATGGAAAAAGCTAGACCAAAGAAAGTGCATACTTTGATTCACCTTTATAAAATCATAGAAAATGTAACTAATCTTTAATGATAGAAAGCAGGTCACTGGTTGCCTGAGGGGGAAGGGGTTAAGAGGAATAGGGAAGGATAAATTATAAAAAGCATGAAGCAACCTTTGGGGATGATACAAATTTTTATTATGATCTCAATTAGCTGACAGCTTGATGGAAGCTTTAAACCTGTGTGGCTTGGTGCCCTTCGGTGATTCCTCGGAAAAACTGAACAAAGCAAAAACCAAAAAGAGAGCTTTCTAAGCTGCCACTGCACCTCTGAGCCACAGCACAGTTGAACTGCGGTCCGCGATACACTGAGGAACTCACTGTTTCTGTGATCTCTGGAAACCCTTTTGCAGGTCAAAAGCAAGCTACCTTTCCCTGATTTATTGATGAGATTCTGCCTGCTTTTAACCTCCAGCAGAAGAGCACCTGTGCCAATGTCTGCACAGGCAGCTCAAGAAGCCCGTCTGGTGGAGACTAAGCAAGTCCGTGTGGCCAGCTTTCAAGTCAGAAATTCCTTTGCTATTAATAGGAGCCTGAGGCGCTTCAATCACTACTGAATCCTGGTTTTCTGAATTGGTTCAAAAATGGGCGAGTGGAACTTGGCAGACACTCCCTTTGCAAATCGAACTATCGTATCTGTTATTATTTTAGCACATGCTGAGAGGATTACAAGTGTTTATATCCTCTCTGTGAGCATCAAATTCAGGCCTTGCCTAACGTGCACAGCAAGCAGAACGCATCAAACACCAGCATCGGATTTGCTCGTGGAATGTAAACTGGAGTATGGATTTCACTTTACACCAAGAGGCACACTGAATGCTGGGAAAAGAATAAAAGCAACATAAAACAGTGTTTTTCATTGGATTGCTCTGTTTGTCTCATTAAATTTGTCCTACTTTAAAATTTATTTCAGTCATTCTTTTCCACAACATTTTCTTTGAAAGCAAAAAGTTGTTTTAAGGAAAAAGATATTTACATAAAGAAGATAGGGTCGCTTAAATTTACAGTAACATTTTTCATTCTCAGTTCCATTCACCGATTCTGGCAAAAATGCTATTTTCTTAGCGTTTCTGAGTGCCTGGAAGGTTGTGACTCAGTTTCCTCATCTGCAAA